TGGTTTTTTTCGAGACAGGGTTTCTCTGTGGTTTTGGAGCCTGTCCTGGAGCTAGCTCTTGTAGACCAGGCTGGTCTCGAACTCACAGAGATCCGCCTGCCTCTGCCTCCTGAGTGCTGGGATTAAAGGCGTGCGCCACCACCGCCAGGCCTTTACCAATGTTCTTATGCCTGAGAAGCTAAGAGCCTAAACAAAACTGTAGTTTCCACTAAGTTTACTGAAGCTGATATTCAGACAGGCCAAGGCTTTTAGAAATGTCCAAAGAAAGGGCCAAAAGTAGTTGTTTTGGGTTTCTGAGACAGAATTTAAGTAACTCAGGCCTCTCATTTTCTTTGTTTAGTTTAGAATGACCTTGAACTCCCAATTCTCCTGTCTCCACCTCCTAAATCCTGAGCTTCCAAGCCCAGACTACTGCTTTAATGGCAGTAGGAAATGGCTCGATAAAGTTTTCTTCACTATAAAATTATAGAACCATGAGGTGATGTGAGACACGATTGCTTCTGACAGCACCAATATATTCCCCCAAAATGATGAGCACCAAAGATATTCCACTTGGAGTTTGTTTTCTTCTTGGCACAATTGGCCTTTGGGCAAGGAACTGCCCATGCCTCGACCACTGACAAAGTACATGGTGTCCAGACTGGATACGCAGGACAGAAGAAAAAGACTGCCAAATCTTGTCAAGACAGTGTAAGATGGTTCCAAATTTTTTTTCTGCCTCTAAAAATGGTCTGTCAGTTAGGCTAGGCATTAGCCAAAGTTGGTAGCCTCAACATTGCAAGTGAGACTTTGATTACTCTGGTAGCCAGTTGTCTGTCATATACTACACGCTTTGGAAGCTGCTTGATTGCACTTACTGCCTACTTAAGTAATATTATCTCCCTTCTCATGCCTTCGATGAGGTTAAAGATAGATAGTCATAGTTACCTTCCCCTTATGATTTAACCAAGCCATTTCTGATACAAGACTTAGACTCTTTAAAATAAAATGTTTATTAAAACATTTAGCATGTGTTCCTTGCTTAATATTGTTCATGCTGGTTGTAATCCTAATTTTATACTTGATATCTGTTCCTAGTGTATGGAGTTTTCCATTGGGTTTGAAACTCTCTTATTTAGACAAAAGGGGTTTGTGATGGGGAATGTCTGTCAGCTGATGATCTTTAAGAGGTGGGACCAGGTTAGGGCATGACCTTTTGGGTACCCTGAGAAAAATGCTAGGTCGCCCAAGGTTCTCTCTCCCTGTGGTTCCTGTGCTACACAACTGAGGTTGGACTTCTCGTTCCTGTTTCACGAGTTTGCCCCTTCTAATAAAAAAATATAATTTGTTTATCTTGGAGTTAGCCTGGGTTTCTTCAACCTGTGTCATTCTACAGTGAGGTTTCCTTTCAGTTTATCTTTACTGAGTTCACACCAGTGCATACACACAGACACACACAGACACACACAGACACACGAACATTCTGACAAAATAGACCTTCATAGTAATGTGTTCTGCTCCATTAGCTTTAGATAAGAGCATAAAAACTCTTGTCAGACCATATGAAATCATATGTACTTACCTTTGGTAAAGAAGTAATTTTGATGAACCAGCCTGCCTCCATCTTAGACTTCAAAGCCATCTTGTAGTAAAAGACAAGCTAGGTTCGTTCGTGTTTATAATCAAAGCTTTGTTTCTCAAGGATTGTGCTTTGTCCCAACTGTAATCGTAACTACACATAGTTCTATACTGCCTGTTCTAGGAATGGCAACCATGTCTTTGTTTCAAAAAGTTATTTATAACCATCTTGCAGCCCTACCTTTGTTTAAAACAGCTATGACTACCTAATGTTATGACCACTATGGTGGTCTGAAAGAAAATGTTACCCATAAAGAGTGACACTCTTAAGTGTGCCCTGTTGGAGTAGGTATGTCCTTGTTGGAAGAAGTGGAAATGTGTCACTGTAGGAGTGGGCATTGAGGCTTCCTATGTTCAAGCTATGCGCAGTGTCACAGTTGCTTCTGCTGCCTATGGATCAAGTTGTAGAATTCTCAGCTTCTCCAGCACGGTGTCTGCCTGCGTGCCACATGCCGTAGTAATAATGGGCTGCATCTCTGAAACTGTAAGCTGCCACCTCAATGAAATATTTTCCTTTGTAAGAGTCTCTTCACAGCAATAGAAATCCTAACTAGCACAACCACCTTGTGACCACCTTGCAATTATGCCTTTGTTTCAGGAGGTCCTTTATGACTCCCTTGTTATACTTATGTTCTACTTTGTAACCTTGCATACTTTGCCTGTCAAATCCCAGATCAGGAAAACCCCTACCCCTGAGCTATAAAAACTTTGTCTTCCTCATATCTAGTGCTGACCTCTTGAACCCTACTTTAGGGTGGAGGCAGTTCATATACATAAATTTTAAAATGTTTCTTTAATTAATTTTTCCATGATGATTTGGATTTGTGATCTTTCTCCTTGAATCTTTGTTATACATACAGATATAGATATAGAAAACATAGATAGATAGATAGATAGATAGATAGATAGATAGATAGATGATAGATAGATAGGTAGATAGATACATAGATAGATAGATACATAGAAAGATAGATAGATGTGCATGGAACCATAATCCTAGAACTCAGTAGACTGAAACAGGAAGATCAAGAGCTCTAGGTAAGGTTGACCTCAGGGGTACAGTGGAAGATCTTGTCATGTTCCCTTAAAGTAATTTAAAGTATAATTAATAATCTGTTTATTGTAGATGTTCATCTTTAAAACTATATATAATCAGTTATTTAAATGTGCAGTGAAAAACAAAATGTTGGCCAGGCGATGGTGGCACACGCTTTTAATCTCAGCACTTGGGAAGCAGAGGCACGCAGATCTCTGTGAGTTCAAGGCCAGCCTGATGTACAGAGGACAGGCTCCAAAGCTACAGAGAAACCCTGTCTCGAAAAAAAAAAAAAAAAAAGATTCCCAACACAAACCAAAGTATGATTCCTGCAGCGTTCACCCTGGAAAACCGATGAATTTACTGGGGTTACTCACAGCAACTGCCCTGTAGAGCCTTGACCCATACTCCAGATGGAGCCCCACTTCAGTTACCCTTCCTCATGTATATACTGTACGCCCAGAGACATCCTGTTCCCCAGACAACCACATGTACTTGTGTAGCATGCCTGGCAGGAACTGGTGAAATCTGATGAGGCCCCCTTCTTTTATGAGGGTTCATCAACAGTCATCAACAGGGGGAGAAACTCTTGCAAACAGATAATAGCTAGTCTGTTGAAGATGGTGGCTGTTTTGCTCAGAGGACTGCATTGTACAACATTTGGGGGAAAATAACTTTCTCTGGCATTATTGTTCATATTTTGAAGAGCATTTTCCACTTCTGACTCAATGCTAGAGGTCTTTGTACTTTAACTAAACCTCAATTATTCTGTAATGTCACATATGACAAATTTGTTTTGCCTTTTGTCAATGGTTTTCTTCTAGAGTTTTCTGCCAATGAACTTTCAAATTTGGCTCAGTTAATCTGGTTATCCACCAAAAATTCATGATGGTCTTTGGCCAAATTTTTAGTCCCCTCCAACATAGAATAAAGAATTCCAGGCTTTACAAATAATGGCGAATGAGAAGGTTAATATTGAACTGATACAAGAGTACAATCCAAAATGGGGGGGCTGCAGTATAGCTGGGCAGTGGTGGTACAATCTTTAATTCCAGCACTCTGGATGCAGAGGCAGGAGGATCAAGGCCAGCCTGGTCTACAGATTAAGTTCCAGGAAAGACAGCACTACACCATGAGACTCTGTTTTGAAAACAACAAAGTAAATAAAATAACTGCAGTACAGAAAAACATTCACCTGAGGAAGAGAAAGGGGGGAACTGAG